CTACTATATAAAAGTCTCGTGTCCCGGTGTTTGTGATCGTACTCCTCCTAAGCCGCTTAAACGATTTTTATGATTTTTTTTTGTGCATATTTGTTAGGTGTGAAAATATGCCGTAAGGGGTGGGCAAGGCCAGGGCCGAAAAGAGCCAAATGTAAATTCTAAAAGTTACAGAGAGCCATAAGAAAAACAAACCAAAAATTTCATTTTTAAAATAAAATTATTATTAGAAATGAAAAACATTAATTTTATTATTATTCCAATGTAGGTATTAAAGAAAATCAGTTAAAACCGTTCGTAACAGTTCTGCTAAATGTTGGTTAGTCAATAGGTACGTTCGTTTAAAATCTTGCTATTTGACATTTTTACAGGATTTTACACGAAAAGTTTTAAATCAGATCTATTTTGAAATTGCCACCAACTATACTACACAGTTTCATGGACATATTCACCATCCAACCGGATATTGTTTCCGCCAGGGAGTGAAGAGGAAAAAGTTCAATAAAAAAAAATACTTTTGGGCGGGACGAAGTTCGCCGGGTCTGCTGGTGTCATATAAATAAATTTAAAAAAAAATTTAAAACACTTTAAAATGTATTGCGAATTGTTTTTCTGTTTCGTATATTATTTACATATATATTTAGACTTAAAAATTTAATTGGTTTTCTCTTTTAAAATATACTCGTATAACACAAGTTTGTTTCTAAATGATCTCGAAGCGACCCAAAGCAAATTTCAAATATCAAATATTATCTAAAAAACTGAAGCCAATCTGATAAAATTTAGAAGGCTTTAGGTAAGTTAGATAAAATTTGGAACCTGCCCAGTGTAATTAATGCAGCAAAAGTTAGCCGATGTAACAGAGATTATTTTACTGTTGTTTTTTTTTTATATTTAGATCTAAGAAAATAATTCGGCCTAACTCTTAATATGATGGACTTTGTCATACTTTAGGGTTGAAAAGTAGGGAGTTGATAATCAATCACCAGAGCAAGGGAGTGAGCACGCTGCCCAGAGGGCTGTTCCTATGAACTCCGCACGTGACATATTGACACACGCTACACAAAGCCAAAGACAGAACAGATTCCAGCACTCCATGCTTTAGAGTAGAGTTGCACATGCTATCGAAGGTGGCATTGTCAGAAGAACATTCAATGTCTACAAAAATACACAAAGCGAATTCACATTACGCAGAACCTCACTTGACAGGTATGTTGTAACAGACAGAGGATGTGATGAAAATGGGCACGTTCAGAAGGCGCAACAGTTCAGTAACTGTTGTGATTGCACCTTCTGAACGCGTTGTTGTGCACTTCTGATCAACTGAACAGTTACGTGTTAGATGATCGTAATATTTTTCTGATCATTTGAGACAACATGTTGGTGTGTATCAAGCCGTTCCGAGGACGCATAACGATCACTGATTTTTAGCAACGGTGGCGCTCAACTGCTGCGCCTTCTGAACCTACCCAATCTCTTCATGTAAACACCATATTAGCTTTCAGACATCCGCATCCACCTATAATTCCACATTCGCCACATCTCTAATACGTACATACATATGTAGTTAAATACAATCTAGAGTTTTAGCTTTTTATTTCCTTGTCTCCGTACGAATCCTCTTTCTTCCCAAATGAAGGTGGTGCAACTTGAATGTACATATATATGTACATAACTTCCGGCTATTGCGCTACTTACTGCAAAACATGCAAATTGCACAAACATATTCAGCGCTCGTTAGAAATTTGCATAGGTCATCAGTTCAGGTTCTCCATGGCTATTTTATTTCTGAACTTCTTTAAACTGTGCTGCAAAGGCAATGATCTTAAAATTTAAGTATATATGTACATATGTATGTGTGTATATATGTATATGTATGTAGCCCATATGTATGCACATACAGAAGACTTGTAGGAAGGTTAGCAAAACATTGAGCTGAATTCTAAAGATAAATTATACTTATACAGGCCAACAAATTAATTTTTTCAACAGTGTAATCATGATAAGGCAGCTGACCAAAATTGTGGGTATGGCGGATCATGCGTCAGCGCCCTTAAATATTTAATAGTAAAAAATTATAATTTTTTTTTTGAATTCTAGGCCATACGCATGGTGAAATTAAAATCAGGGTTTATTCTCTTAACATTCGGCTATCTCATAGAAATTTTCAAAGGCGAATTTTCAAATAAGATAGTGTCAAATCTTTCTTGTCGCTCTAATTGCTACACCTGGTATAATTTCACCATGGGCCATACGTATTTTTATTGAAATATAATAGAAAATAATAGATACATGTATTTAGAGTTAGCAGAAGTTAATGGTGATTTCGTTGCTTCCAAAAAATGTTGCCCTTACACTGTGCAAAATGCGTTTGGTGTCACACTCAACCCTGTAAAAGACCACTACACCACATCGGCCCGAAAACTCAAAATAAGAGCCCCTTCGAGGATTCTGAGGAGAAAGCAAACTCTTTTGCTCCATCTATGATTTATTTAAATTCAATATGTAGAGTCTCGTCCCAATATGCTAAATGTGCTTCCGACTCACCCAGGGATCACTTCTATTTACTATTTCTAGTGTTAAAATCGGTGGGCGGCGGTTGTTTTTCAAACATCATTAACATTTCCGCATTGAAAGCTTACAAGGGTGGTCCATAGGTACATTCGGGGGGGAAAAAGTTTAAAATGTTAAGCTCTCACCCCCTAGGATTTTTCTAAATGGAAAAAATACCCCTATTTTTTATAAAAAAATATATATATTTAGAACTGCCTCAAAGCCCATGAAGTTGTCCATGTATTTTATATAAGCAAAAACACTTTTTCATAGAAATGGTATTGTGTTCTTAAATTTTTCGATCGGAAAACTCTCTTTATCTTTAGGAGACTTCCAGTAAGAATACTTTTACCATTTTTTTATACTAATTATTTTTTATATGTTCGCCAAGAACCCCAAAAAATGTAATGTGATGCCCATAAAAATCGTCAATATAAAAAATGGTAAAATAAATAATTCGGCATTGTTGTTGGAAATCTCCTAAAGAAAAATTTAGTTTTCTGATCAAAAAGTATTGATTTTCTAGAATTCTATACCATTACTACGAAAAAGTGTACATATAAAATATGTACATGGAAAACTTCATGGGCTTTTTTTTATTATTTAATTTATGTAATTTATTTTATTTTATTTTATTTATTTCAAATAATGTATTTTATTATTATCATATAATCATAATGATTCTTAATTAAAACAAGTTTTATGATTAAGTTTTATGATTAAGTACCATTATTTGCACCTTTTTAATGATAAATAATTAATTAATTTCAGAAAAAATAATTAATTTTAATTACATGATTATTTTGTTATTTTTGATTATTTTCAATTATTTTTGAATTTTTTTATTTACATGATTAACATAATTATTTGATTGTTTTCAATTATTTAGGTCTTCAATTTTATGATTTATTTCAACTTGTGAATAATATATTGCAACGCAGTTAATATACATATGATGAGTACAGTAAGATAAGATAAATGCACAATTAGAATAACAAAAACGCAAAAAATGCAATAAAAAAAACAGCATTGCCGACTGAAGCAGGCCGACTTAAGCCATAGAGACCTTGCTTAACTTTCTACCTGTGCACTTATATGTTAAACTACATGCAAGTTCTAATGCTATTATATAAAAAGCTCTGATCGACGTTCGGGCACTCTATATAGATTCTGGGAAGATCTTCTAGTAGACTTCAGGCGGCTACCTTCCAGACAGGCATCCCCTCAAGGGATGAATTAATCCTGATCTCGTATTTTGATTCGGCAGCCATGTACACTGATGGCACCAATGGATCTATGGATCTAAAGGTAGGAAGTGGGGTATACTCACAAGAACTCTCACTTAGCCTTAGTTTTCGTCTGCCAGATCTGTGTAGCGTTTTTCAAGCTGAACTAACCGCAATCAACGCAGCTGTAAGATGGCTGATCGCTTCTGTTATTAGTCTGCATGCGGTAACTATCTTTTCTGATTATTAAAACACTTAACTGAGATAAATCTGCATCGAAGATTGTCATGGAATGTGGACGTACTTCACTAATGTTGTACGGGTGCCAGGCCATAAAGACAAACCTGGCAACTGTGTTGCAGATGAAGGAAAGAAACCTTACTGTCAGCAATCAGTACCTCTCGTAATGCGGGCATTCCGCTATCTTCCTGCAAACTCTGGCTGTAGAATAACTTTATCAAAGGTGCAAATACAAGATGGTCTACCGAGCCCATGTTCAGGATAGCAAGACATATTTGGCTTAGGTTGCCGCGTGGAGCGGTCACTGCTCCGATATGTCATGGGAGTTCTCACCGAGCACTGCCTGATGGGTGTCCACGTTGCCAGAATGGGCTTGCAGTCAAACGACTACTGTCGTAGCTGCCATGATGAGAAGGAAATAGAAAGCGTGGAGCATTATCTATGCGACTGTCGTGCTTTGGTGAGGGCTCGTCGATGCTCGATCTCCCACTATTCTTTTGAATGTCTGACTTCAACTGGCTTAGGCCAATTTCTACTACTTTGTGCGCTTCATCAAAGCTACAAATTGGTTCAATTTTTGAGGAAAAGCAGGGTTGTGAGAAGTCTCTAATATGGCATCACAATGGGCCCGTGGTGGCCTAAGTGAGCCCTTTTCCTGTGAGGGTTGAGGGTAGACAAGATAACCTAACCTAACCTTTAGTTAAAGTGCATTTGTGCTACATGTAATTGTATGTTCTATAACGGCATTATTTTAATTGTGGCTAGATGGGTTCGACTAGAAGATGTACGGATAAAAGCTGTATTTGGTTTTCAGTTTGGATTTATAAAGCATTTAATTCAGTTTTCGGCAGCTTAGCTGATGTGTTCATATTTCATTTTTTTTTTAAATTATTACTTTATGCATTGTAATTTATATTAACATGTACATACATACATACATACATACATACATAATTAATCTGCTTCCATGATTTTTTGTTACAGGGAAACTGCCCCGCAACCCTACCGCAATGTTATGTATGATCGCCGTGTAATACGTGGATCTGTATTTGGTACTCAACAGCTTTTGGTAAATATGTTTAAATTCTCTTATTAGCCCTCAAAACACCTTAGATAAAATTTACGTTCAGGCCCTTATGGGTAGAATTCTACCCACGTACTTTTTATTAATTTATTTATCCAAAGGTTTCTGACTTGCTTAAAATCAATTAAAGTGGGACACAACTAAATACCATATAGATATATGTACTTTATTTTATGTCATACAGTTTTCCTGAAATATGTACTGCAGTAATGTTATTTGTTCCAATTCCTGTGCCTACAGCTACATAGTGCTGAAACTAAAATTAATAAAAACCTATTTGAGAAACTCTATGGGACAAGTCAGACTACGTAACTTGGCTATTATATGGCTCTATCTTTAAACGCAATAATTACCGCCTGCCAGATGGCCCCCATGCTAACCGAGGGAGTGAAAGAGAGAGATGTCATGTCAAAAAAGCAGCTGTCCTGAAATTCGTGTTTTCACGACGTTGCTAGCTCTCGTACTATTATATGATAACCATTATTTTCAGATTTAATTTTTTAGTAAATAAACGGCTTTAAAAAACAAACTTCAACACAACGGTCGAAAATTATCGAAAAATATATAAATTCAAAATAAAGATTATTTTTGATACAAAAAATTTTAATAGTAAAATAAAGATAACATTTGACCGAAAAAAAATCAAAAGTTAGCGATTATTTTTGACCTGAAATATAGAAAAAAAAAACAATTTTGCAAATATTTGAAAATATAAATCTTAGATTTAACGGTTATTTTCGAGCCCTGAAAAAAGTATTTGTTCAGATTGAGCCAGAGCCTTAGTTCGTAATTAGATAAACCTAAAAATTTTCACAAAATATAACTAAACTGTTATATAATCCACATACGCAATATGCGAGTATTCTTCTAACATTTATGGAATTTCGGCTACTTCCGTTTCAGGAAAACTCTGATCCCTTCGATAAAGCAGCTGAACTGCGTCGACGCCACGCCTTACGGAAGCAAAAAGTTTGTCGAAATCAACGCAACATCCTTGGTACACCGCCACCAGTCAACGGACGACAACATGAAGTTATTCAAACTGAGAAATATTTGGAAGAGTTGGTGCAACGTCCGCCAGAGCTCTCAGTAGATACTCAGACCGATTTGTTCCTCGAAAAACCACCAGAGCCACCTTATGTCCCGGCCAAAGTGGGCGTTGATGCGGCCACCGAAATCGGCGAAGGTGAACTTTTCCACTTTGATGCCGAGGCTCAACCGATTATCGATATACTTGTGGATGCGTGCATCGAGCAAAGCATGTTGGAAGTGGCACACGAACGGGAGATTGAAGCGCTCCGCCAGAAACAAGCCGAGTAATTTAAGCCAAATCATTGCATATAAGAACTACCTTACATATCTATATTTGTATACCTTCATTACAGATTCCTTGCTCAACGGGAAGCCGAATTGGCTGAACTACGACGCCTCGAAGCAGAGGAGTTACGCTTAAAGGCCGAAAAGGAGCGACGCTTACAACAAGATGCCATCGCAAAGGAATTGGATGAAGAGATGCAAAAGAGCGTGACAGCCGCCAAATTATTGCAGGGTCATATTGCTGGTTTATTACCAGAAGTTTTGGACAACCTCGAACCGGCTACCGATGCTGCAAAGAAAGAGCACCTCATGAAGACCGTCGCACCGTGGTTGACTAACGAAGTTGCAGAAGAAGTGGGACATATTGTAGACTCGCGTGAAATACTCACAGCCATCATACAAGAGATCATTAAACAGCGCGCAACAGCTTATGCTGATTACAAGGAAGAAATGCCGCTGGAAACCGTAATAGAGCGTGGTGAAGATATAGTGGAAGAGGAAACGAAGGACGAGGCTTGCACTTGTGAATCGAGCGATATCAGCAGTGAGCAAACGGATAAATGTGGCGACTTATCGAAGAAGATGTGATTAATAGAATTAGTTTAATTTCTATTGATTGATCAATCTTTTTACTTTTTGTACAGACCAACTTAACTTTAAAATTACTATACTTCAATTACACGTACATTTCAGCAAACAAACGTCTACAAATTTTCGGGATTACATACATTATTTTTGGATGCGTATCAGGTATCTCAAAAAGATTTCTGTACAAAGTGTAATTGAATAAATTATGCAAGCGGGTCAAAAAACATGCATACACACTTATTTACATATCGTCATCATTAGTGCGAAATCCTCTATTTGAATTTTGAATGCGATATTTTAAAGAATACTGCCTTGCAACCATCTCCACTGTTGATTTAACAATTTTTTTTTTGCTATTAAATTTTACCTTTCAAATTTCACATTTTTCAATTAGATTCTTTTGTGCTGATGATGACGATTTGTTTCGAAGACAACCATCAACATTAAAACCAAGCATTTAATGTTGTTTTGATGTTCATGATTGAAACTGTAGTCGACGATCCTTACTTTGGCGATGTAAGCAATTACATACGTATGTATTTTGCAATACGAAATGAAAATTTTTAAATTAAACAAAAACATTGTTAATTTTTTATGTTATACCATACTTATACTTATGTATGTACATATATGTCAGCCCGATATTATAAATAAAAATAATTATATAAATACATACATAAAACGATTTCTTCTGTTCAAATTTACATTCATATACATATGTAGTACCTAAATAAAAACAAGGTTAGTAATTGACTTGCAAGGTTAGGTTATGATAGATTAAGATAATTGTATGGACCACACATTACCATTAACTAGATCGTATACAGTTTCCTATAAGGATGCCTGTGATGAGTCTTAATTCCTCCTTAACAAGACTTGTAAGAAGTTGGAATCTCTTTAGAATATATCAGCTAAGTTAGAACCATACCTGAAGGTCTGTGCAAGAATGGAGTCAACAAATGAAGCACCAAGGCTGCGCAAGATACTTTCTAAAACCGATTCGGCAATAGATAGCATTAGAACGCCAGACAGCTTCCAGGCATCCATTCTAGCCCGTGTATCGGGAAATTGTATTAAAGAGAGAGTGGATAAGGAGAAGACAACATGGGCTGTCAACATGTTTGACCGCTAGAAGTCCACAGGTCCGGGTGGGTTAGTGCGGGCCATGTTACAACACTCCTGAGAAAGTGTGTTACCCCATCTTATGAGAATATTTACAATATGCTTGGCGGATGCGTGCGTACCTAAAGCTTGGAGGAAGGTCGGAGTGATATTTATTCAAAAAGCAGGGAAGCTAAACCACCCCTCCCCAAAGGAATTTAGGCTAATATGTCTCTCATAGTTCCTGCTAAATACACTTGATAGACTTATTGACTTATTGATAAGGGAACGTACCCACATCCACACAATGGACATGGTGCAATATGCCTATCGCTAGGGCAGATCAGTCGATAGCCCTCTCCACGAAGTAGTCGGTACTAGGAGTTAACCCTTCTAAAACCGAACTGTGTTGTTCACAAGGAAAACAAAAAATCCGGAATTCCTGAACCTCACGTCCTCCTAGGATTTCAGTTTTAAGATTCCCATACAATTTACTACCCACGAAGATTGGGAAGGTGGCCTCCTGTGGGTAGATAGATAGATAGCTCTAAGATGGAAAAGGAGTCGGCTCGGGTCTGTTCTCCAAGGAACTTCAAATAAGGCAATCATACCTCCTGCCTGATGACTTCAGTGTCTTTCAGGCGGAGATATTTACCATAGAGAAGGCGACTTGTCTCATACGGGATAGTAAGTATCTGTCAGGGAACATCACTATATTCGTTGACAGCCAGGCGGCATTGCAAACATTAGGTTCCAGGGTGGCAAGGCGAAAGCAGTTCGGAGATGTCACGCAACGCTGGCTTCACTGAGTCACGTCAAAACCTCTCTACTGGGTTCCTGGACATAGCAATATAGAAGGGAACGAAATAGCCGATGAGATGACTAGACACGGCTCGGTTCATAGTCGCAGCGATTATGGATGAAGTCATCCTTGGATTTGACTTCTTGCTTGATCAAGGTATGCAGATCAACATGAAGAACAGGGCTATGACGTATAACAACATGGAAGTGCCCCTTCGGTTTGGGTATGATGGTCCATACAGCAGCAAGCGAGTGATCCTAGAGGAAAGCGAGCAGATTCCACCGAAGTCAGAAGCAGTTGTGTGGGCAAAGATTGATGGAGATTGTGGGACGAACAAATTGTGGGTTGTTGAAGCAACACAAAACTCTACACCGGACGTACTTATTGGTAAAACCTTGGCTAGGATGCAAAAGGATGGACGCATCCCAGTTGAGTGCTCAATGAGTTCAAATCACCAATCAAACTCCGAAGAGGAACTGTACTGGGGCAATGTCGAGAGGTAGAGGCAATCTTCAACTGCGAAAAGTTACCTGAAAGCGATTCCATTGGCGAGAATGACATTGCGGAAGACATTAATGCATGGACGGAAGGGTTGGAAGAAAAATACCAGCACAAGGCTCCGAAGATACTGCAACATATTCGACAAGGTTGGCGCCAAACCAGGCAGGACTAACGTTGTGAAACATCGCATTGATACTGGCGATGCAAGGCCAATCCGTCAAGCTCCTCGGAGTGTTCCACTTGCCAAACGTGAAACTGTTAGCCAAATAATAAAAGAAATGAGCGAGAGTGGTGTGATTGAACCATCAGCGAGTCCATGGAGTTCGCCGGCAGTACTTGTGAAGAAGAAGGATGGTCAAATGCGGTTCTGCGTAGATTACCGGGAACTAAACGATGTGACGAAGAAGGACAGCTATCCTCTTCCCAGGATCGATGACACTCTGGACTCGTTGACTGGTGGTTCTCAACACTGAACCTTAAGAGCGGTTATTGGCAAGTAGAGGTAAGTGACGAGGATAAGGAGAAGACAGCTTTCAGCGTTGGAGACGGTCTGTGGCAATTCACGGTGATGCCCTTTGGTTTATGCAACGCTCCTGCCACTTTTGAACGACTTATGGACCATGTGCTCAAAGGACTGCATTGGAAAACATGTTTGGTGTATCTAGACGACATAATCGTATTAGGTAAAAGCTTTGAGGAACACCTGAACAATTTGGAAGAAGTTTTCCAGAGGATAGCTGGCGCTGGTCTGAAGCTAAGTCCTAAAAAGTGCTCACTGTTCAGGAAGGAGGTGAACTACTTAGGGCACAAGGTGACAACGGAGGGCATCTGTACTGCGAAGGAAAAGATAGAAGCAGTAAAGGATTGGCCAAGACCTAGGAACCTGCACGAACTATGAAGTTTTCTTGGGCTATGCACCTACTACCGCCGATTTGTTCCGAATTTCGCCAGCGTTGCTAATAGCCTCCACGAGCTCACTAGGAAAAGTAGAGCCTTCGAGTGGAACAAGGAGCAGGAGGAGGCTTTCCAGACTCTGAAGGAACGACTATGTACTGCACCTATGCTAGCATATCCCGTTCCAGGTGCAACGTTTATTTTGGATACGGATGCTAGTGGTTATGCCATAGGAGGCGTACTGTCGCAGGTAATTGATGGGCAGGAGAAGGTAGTTGCCTACTATAGCCGGTCGATTGGAAAACCAGAGAGGAACTACTGCGTAACTCGGAGAGAACTACTAGCGTTGGTGGACTGCGTCAAACATTTCCACAAGTACCTCTATGGGCAACGTTTTCGAGTTCGAACGGACCATGCAGCGCTGAAGTGGCTACTACAGTTTAAGAATCCAGAAGGACAGCTAGCTCGGTGGATTGAGAGACTGCAAAGTTATGACTTCGCCATTGAGCACCGCAAGGGAAGTGTCCACGGTAATGCTGATGCCATGTCCCGCCGCCCATGTAGCCTGGAATGTAAACACTGCTCAAAAGCTGAGGGAAAAGAGGACATTATAGACGTCCGTCTAACGACAATAATACCAGCGGAAGAGTGGAAGGAAGAACAGCTACGAAAGTGTCAGCAGGAAGATCCAGATCTGGAGCTTTTGATGCATGGACTGGAGGTGGACAGGAGGCAAACTAAGGAGCAAATGGCAGCGGAAAGCCCCATCGCAAAGGCGTACTGGGCACAATGGAACAGCTTAAAATTAATATCTGGCTGTTTGAATAGGGTATGGGAAAGCGAAGATGGCCAGTGCTCCCGCAACCTGATAGTAGTTCCAAGGGTAAGAATTCCGGATGTACTCAAGGAATTCCACAATGGTCCTAGTGGAGGGCACCTGGGGATCATGAAGACCCTGGAGAAGGTTAAGCAGAGGTTCTATTGGGTTGGTTGTCGGCAATCGGTCGCAGAGTGGATTGCTAACTGCGCGGAGTGTATTGCAGCTAAGGGGCCGAAATCCAGAAGTCATGGCCAGATGAAGCAATATAACTCAGGTGCACCTTTCGAGCGGATTGCCATGGATGTAGCCGGTCCATTTCCTATGAGCGCACAGGGAAACAAATACGTCCTGGTGGTTATGGACTACTTTAGCAAATGGCCGGAGGTATACCCGATTCCAAACCAGGAAGCAAAAACAGTAGCGGAGGTATTCACCTACAATTGGGTTGCGAGATACGGTGTACCTATAGAGCTGCACTCTGACCAGGGAAGAAATTTTGAGTCTGCGGTGTTCCAAGAGATGTGCCAGATACTGGGTATCCGGAAAACTCGAACGACGGCTCTTCATCCCCAATCAGACGGCATGGTGGAACGGTTCAACCGAACCCTGGAAGAGCATTTGCGGAAGGTCGTGGACAAGAATCAAAAAGATTGGGATGTCCGCATACCCTTGTTCCTGATGGGATACCGGTCAGCAGTGCATGAAACAACGGGTAAAACTCCTGCAAGGGTAATATTCGGCAGTGAGCTCCGTTTGCCTAGTGATCTGAAGTTTGGGGTGACTGGTGATGCTAGAAGGATTGGAAAAGAGACGTCAAACATCCTGGAAGAGGAGCTGAGAGAGATACATGCTCTTGTGAGACGGCGCACACAAATTATGAGTGACAAGATGAAAGCCAGGTATGATAAGGCGATGAATTCCGAGGGTTTCCAGGAAGGAGATTTGGTGTTGCTGTACAATCCACAACGAAAGAAAGGTTTGTCCCCAAAACTTCAATGCAACTGGGAAGGTCCGTATAAGGTCGTAAAACGGCTAAATGACGTAGTGTATCGGATCCAGACTGTTGGGAGACCAAGAAACAAGATGAAGGTGGTCCACTTGGAAAGGCTTGCAGCGTTTGGAACCGCAAGTGTGTCTGATCGGGACGATCAGACTTAGGGGGAGGGCAGTGTGGCGAATACTGCGGCAACACAAAGCGAACAACGAGAAATAGGCAGAATGTTCGAAAAATGACGTAGAATGCTCCACAAAGAGAAACGTCAAGTTTGATGAACACTGCGAACAGCGAGAGAAAGAGAATGAGCGATAAACTTCAGAATGTTCTAGAGTTGCCATAAGTGCCAGCGCAGGTATATAAGGGCGCCGCCACCGCGAGGTGAGTTAGTTACAAGATAACAAGCTACAAGTAAAGTAAGCAGAGAAGCGAGTTGCGAATAAGCAAGATATAAGTTTAATTGTGTTACCAAG